TATAATTAATATTTGACATTCTAATAACTAGTATTTTTAAAATATTAATTTAACTTAATCAAAGCATTGATTAGTTTCTGAGCTTTTATGTACAGATACAGAAGAGGAAGCAGCAAGGGCTTTTGATGTTGAAAGCATAAGGTTGAGAGGGCACAATGCTATTACTAATTTTGATATCAAGTTTTACAACGTTCGTGCCATTTTGCATGGGGAAACTGATGAAAATGTAATCTATCATTCACAAGACACTACTGTGGAAGCAACAATTCAGCCTTTTGAAATGCTTCAGAGCATTATTGGCATTTCAACAATGATTTATTATACAGGCATTGGGAACAAGAATGGAGAGCCAGATATCAACACTACCAACCCTAGAGTTGAAAGGCCAATACCAATTAATGTAGTATCAGGAAACACAGAAGAACATGGAAATGTGGCATTGGCTTCAATATTCCAACAAGATAATTGTGACACTAATAGGAATGAGGGTGATAGAGAGGGAAGCTCATCAAACTTTCGCTTCCATCATTCAAGTTCTAGTGCTTTTAAAGAATTCATCAAGAGGAGAAAAGTTGGTGATTCACGTGACCAATTTGATGTTACTGGAGAAGCTCAAAAGGCAGAGAATTAATTTTCTGGAATTGGGGTTTCAACATTTGAGTTTGGAGGTTAATTTCCCTGCAGCCATGCAAAATGTAAAGGTTGAAGTTAATTAAACATATAATATATAGAATAGCAATGTACGTAGTAGAGCAAAACCAGCTGGTATATATGTTGAGAGTTTGCATGCTGTTAATGTTGGATTCAATATACTTTCTCGTTTTTATGTATATATAATATATCCTGTGGCTATCTTACCAAAATCATGACAAGGGGTTAACTAATCATCTTCTTCTATTTTTAGAGTTCAAGTCCTGGGATTGATTTTGAGAACGAAGGTGATAATGTTGGGATATTTAAGTGTGATCAGTGTCACATTGGTGGTTGCTAATGGGCTAAGTGAAATGTATATAAGTGGACGATGGATCCATGAACTCAATGTCTTAAAATTTTGGACTGAGACCATGTGTCAGACCCACTTGGTGTAGTTGGCCTAACTTAACCTATTGGTGGTCGTCCCCCGTCATGGGCTCCCCTGGACCCCCGTCTGACAATGGTATCAAAGTCGGGGTTGAGCTCGAGCAAGCCTGGTGATTGGCTAGGAGGCGGGTTGAGTACATGGGTACTGGGATACTCAATTGAGAGGTGTATATAAATGGGAAAATCTATGAACCTAACGCCTTAAAGTTTTAGGTTGAGATATGATATCAAATCCACTTGATATGGCGGGCTAGCTTAGCCAATTGGTGTGGTCCCCGCGTATAGTCTCTCTTTGTTCCCCTTATGCTAAAAATTATTATCTATTTAGTGTTATCTCAAAATTTAATTTTTAACTGAAAAATATTATTTTACTTTTTACATGTCCTATTTTGTTATTATTAGTGATAATTAATGACTACGAGAGAGAATGGGTGGCTAAATAGTCATTTTTCTATGGAATAAATTTAAGGCTTTTATACTTCTTTTATCGAAGAAATTTTTCACAGTAACACATAAAAAGTCCGAATTACACATGCGAATCTTGGTTTTTAAAAAAAAATCAGTGAGACCATTTGTTTTGTATTTGCTGCACCAGAAAAAAATGGTGCAGCAATAGCAGAAGTTTGGAACCCTAAATTTAAACCCCACAATATATTAAATGAAGATGGTGCATTCAAATTCTAATTTTTTTTAAAAGAAGTTTTTTTATGAAATGGCAAACAAAAATTTATCTCAAAAAATAAAGTAAAATAAAATTGGTGGTTTTTATAAAATTATTTTTTTTAAAATAATTATCTAAAAATAAATTTCGATTCATCATCATAATATATATTAAAATTGTGGATGTGCTAATTTATTCATATTTATTTCTGTTATAATTTCTAAAAAAAAAATTACTTTGTTTACCCATCAGGCCAGCACAGTTGGTGAGATCCTATAACTGTAGTCTTAAGAGTATTGGAAAGAGTTTAGTTGATTGATGTTTCAATGTCTCCCAATTTTTTTAATTCTCAAATTTGAAATTTTAATGTTTTACATAAAATGAGATATAAATTTTGAACATGTCAAATAAAAAGATAATAATGACAAAATATAACATATGAAATAGACTACAGACATTTTAAGAGCCCGCGAGAAGATTTGACCAAATTAAAAAAATTCTCCTACTATTAGAAAGTTAAAATGTGGCCATTACTACAATTAATTTTGTGATACCAACACAAGCTAGAGAGGACATTTGAGATTAAAATTAAATAATTATTTCGTCATTTGATTCAGTATTAATCTTATTTGTGCAGGTCTCTTTCCTCGCTCGAATTGTGAGAATTACCCGGAAATTTGATTTGAACAAACATTTGAGGTTAAATTTGAATAATTATTCCATCATTCAATTCGGGATTAATCACATATGACATATTTGTGCGGATTTTTTTCCTACTCGAATAATGAAAAATACCCGAGAACCTAATTTGTCTAAAAAAATAATTAAGATCATAAAGTAAAAATAAATTAATAAGGACACAAGATATAATAAACGATAAGTAACTTTTATTTATTTTGGTATCAAAAAGTGACTTTTATTGGAACAAACATTTGGTGCTACCGATCACCATACATCATCGATTCATCGGTCCAAAAAAAATAAAAAAATTGAGATAAAGATAGAATAAAAATAAAATTATGGGTTCAAATAGGAAAAAATTTACTTTTTCAGAAAAAAGATGTAATCAAATGGATACATCCGATATATAAAAAAAAATTCCTTTTTATAGGAGACCTTCCAAAGTTCGCCAAGATACTTGGCAAACTTACGGTGGAAAGTCAAAGTATCACCATCACAATGGCTAATTTTAATTTTTCATCCAGTTTTAATCTTACTATTATCACTTAAAAAAATGTGATCAAACCATAAAAAATAAATAAATAAATAAAAAATTAAAATAATAAATGAATAAGAGAATTCATCTATTTTCAATGGTTATAAATTGTCGAGATTTTTCACATTCTCTTCAAATATTCAGAGTGTCCCCATAATCAAAATCGTGGTGTCTATCTAATGTATTGTGTTCATCTATATATAAGGCTAAGCTAACGTAATATCTGTCTTTAATGATTATTAATTACATGTTAATTAAGGGGAAATTTTAGTGATCAACAGTTTCATTTAATGATGCTCAAAATATTAACATGTATTTTACCCTAAAATTGGCTCCTTTCAGTGTTTGTTGTTTTTATTATTAAAGCCTAATTTTACTTGATTTTAGATTATTATTTTTTTGGTAAATAGATTCTTTCTTTTTTATTCATGATAGATTTGGTTAATTTTGGGGAAATGATTATTTTACTATTTTAGGAATATAAAATTTTTAGCATGCACCTTATGGCCTAAGAAGTACAGCTAACACTTCATGCTATTTTTTTATTTATTTTTTTGGTAATAGCTATTTTTTATTTTTTTATCTCTTTAAAATTCCAAATTGATTAATAAATGTAATAATATCATATTCAAGTATTGACAAATTTGGATTTCAATAATTGTCCTCTTTTGCTTTTCATTTAGGGTTGTTTGGTGGACAGGATATGATAAGGGTAGAATATGATATGGAGCTGATAAGCCTATATCATGTTTTGTGTTTGATGAGCACCTGATTAGCAATCTGATAAAATTATGTAGAAGGAGAAAGGAGAAAGAAAAAACAAAATATAATGCAATAAATACAAATATATTGAATAGCGTGGGGATATATTAGGTATCTGATATTAGTATCTATCCTGTTGAATCCTAACTCAGCTCCCTCTATATGATAAGAAATCATGTATTAGATATAGGATAAAATGAGATAATAGGATAAACTAATCATATCCTATTGACCCACTAAACAAGAGATAAAAGTAAAATATGATAAGTTATTTTATCCTATCTTTTTTATCAGGTGTTCCAAACAGCGCGAAGTTAATTCAAATTTGTTCATAACAAATGCAGAACTCGAAAAAAAGTGCGACTCTCAAGAAAGATGGGTGTGGGGTTTTAAAGACTCAATGCAAAGGTTGTGTGGGATGATAAGAAATCTATAAAAAAAAAATTGTAGACGTGGGTAATAAATCCTCTCAAGTCTCATATTCGTGTGAAATTTTAGTATGTATTTCTCTTTTTATAAATTTAAATTACACCTCCCTTATTTAATGTCAATGAAGAGAAAAATAGACACATATTTTTCGCATGACTTGCATGAGAGGATCTATTACCATGGAGGTAAAACTCTAAAAAACTAAAGATCAATGGACATGCGACCTTTGAAAACTAAAAACAAGGGAGGGGCGCATGACATTTGAATCCATTATTTTCTTTATATTTATGAATCTTTCCATCGAACAGTGTGTCTTTGTTAGGAGGACACTCATGGCATGGGATTTCATTCATTTCTATTGCTAAGACTCAAGTGAAACCATTAAGCAAAGCAAACTATTTTTTATGGAACAGAAATTTAAGCAACTTCTGCCATAACCAATGCTGATATTAACCCTTTGTCTTTGAAAGACCCAAGGCATTAAGCAAATGCATAAAACCATGGTCTGAAGTTTATATGTTCATAACAGAACAGCACCATATCAGATTCTAAAAATTGCACTTGCATGATGTACAGGTTACAAGGATTTCTTGTAAAAATGCCACGACAATCACCACATCAAACCTATCTTTATCTACACACACACACAATACACTAACTGCAGACTTGAACTCTTGGACTTAAACTGCGCTATTTACCAAGATTCTCAAATGATCTTGAATCTTTTTATTTTATCACATTATTTTTATTTTCTCAATTCACAATTCCTTGCTCCTAAATCTCCTACATATTCATTTTTTTTCTGAGGTAAAAACTCTCAGGTACACATGTGAAAACTCACAACAAGGTTCATCACATGGTCCAAACTTCACGTAGGAGTTCATATCTAGCATTTGTGGTGGGGTGGCTCCCTAACTCCGTGTGATTAACTTCTCCATTTACAGTGACTGATGGAGATGATGGCAGCTTATCAATGATGAATGTGAGAGGGGAATCAAGTTCCTCCAGTTCTTCATCACTCGTATATCCTCTCCTTTGAATAGCTGATACATTTCTAGCCATGTGAGACTTTCCTCCTGCTTCAGCAACCTTCTCTGCCACATTTGCTGAGGAAGGAGGGACATATATAACCGGAGCAGCAGCATACGGGAAGCTTCTGACAGATTCCGCTGAAAATCTTCGCTCCACGATCGTCTAATGATGAAGTAAATAAACTTCAATAAACTAGTTTTCCCTTGAACAGTAGAAGATAATCACTTTGCTCTTAAGGTAGAACATTAAGTTACCAAAATAAGTACTCCACGAAATTGACATTGCATGAAAGGCATTATGAATTTCTGAATTTGAATAATTTATTTCTTCTTTCCTTGTTAATGCAAATTGTTTATCAAAGTCATGCAAGTTGAGAGAAACCAAATTTAATACCAGGTAGGTGTTCATAACTTATGGACAAACCCAGTGCACAAGCCGTGTGAGGGCAGGGATGAATGTCTGTTGTACACGGTCTTACCTTTGCATTTTTTAGAAGAGAAAGATTTTAAACTCGAACCCGTGACCTTTTGATCACAAGGAGCAATCTTACCGCTACTCCAAGGCATGCTCTCTTAGGTGTTCATGACATACCATATAATAATAACAAAATAAAATGTTCACCCAATTTAACAACAAATTAATGTATCCTTGTGAACAGTTTTAAAAGGAAGAGATGTATAGTATACCTCCCCGTTCAGGGCCTCCAAAACAGCTCCTGGAACAGGGTCTGGACAGAACTCATCTGGAGTGAAGTTACAGAGGACCCTTATAACCAATGAAAGAGTGATGGATGGACACACCTGCACATCAATAAAAGACATTGAATAAAACGCAATGACAAACCAAATAAAAGAGAACCAGAAAGTGATATGCCACAAAAGAAAACGGTATTTGATTCATGAAATTAACCTCCTGTCTAACATGTCTATCTATAAGCATGTCTTTTGGTAGCATTAGAAGGTCACTCAAGTCGTTAAGGAGAACAAATGATTTAGGTTCACTATCTCCACCCTGCCTTTCATCATTTTCACAGCTCTCCTGATCTTCTTGCAGACAATCGTCAGCATCCATGCCAAACATATCAGTAAGCCATCTAGACCAAGTGCCAACCTGCAATTCAAGCACCTCTTCCATAAGCATAGACACCTATAGGCCTTACCTTTCCTATATGATGAAACCTTGATACTACATAGTAATCACATGACTCGCATCAACTAAGTGGTGATATAAACCCCAAATTTTGTTAATTCATATTGTCATATTTTCAATTTTACTGATTTCACCTTTGGACATTACCACAGCAATGAGATCAATAAACCATACAGCAAGGCATATGAAGAGTCCACTGTATAAAATCACAAATGGCATACAACATAATATCTTCTAATTAGATGATCTTTTAAGATTGTGTATGAAGTTAGAATATAAGGCGGGGCCAATACACCAAATATCATGAACAATTACCATGCCCTTTTTTTTTCCAGAATGAGAACATAAAAAGTAGCCAGTTAATCTTAGTCAGAGTGGTTGAACAGATAAACTAAAACAGTAATCATGAGGAAAAAAAATTCTTATATTCACTAGATATGTTCTGCACATGACCATGTCAGATGATTGAATTCCTGTGTACTAAATGGTTAACCTCAGAGTAATGTCTTTGGTACCTTTTAGCTTCAGTTTCAACTCAAGCAGTTTGTATAAGTTATATAAAGTAAACATGCTCAACAGAGAAAATCTCTTTGTTGTTTTCTTAATTTTATAAGTAATTTTTTCGTAAGCTTCCATCAAAAACTGTCCCTCCAAGAAACTGATTTGCTATTGAAGAGGAAAGTTTCCAACTGCTTGGAAATTCTGTTCAAATTCAACTTATAGACAATGTGTAAACACAAAACAGTAACAAGGGAAAAAAAATACTTACAGAATTTTTTAGCTGTGCACCAGACCCAAAGCTTAAATTTCCTGCTGGAATTGGCAAAACCTTCGAATCAACAATAGGATCCGATACAGGATCAGTTGGGATCTCAAGGGCTGACTCCCGAAGAATAGCATTGAGCATTGCAACATCTAGTCTAGCTATGCACTGTTCCATGACCTGGTGAAAGAATTGAAGTCTACTCAATCCTTAGAGCAAAGGAAAGGGAAGCTAAAAACATCTTCAAGAAAGGAAGGAAATCAATAATAATAGAAAAGCACACCATTCTAGCCAACACAGGCAAACAACCACACACATGCCCTCCTGCTCGAACAGGACACAGTCGTTGAAAAGCATCTTGGAAAGCATTTCTCCAGAGATTGATGGAAAAGTTTCCTTGATTGTGATCACCCAGAGCAGGTCCTAGCAGCCTCCCCATGGATTTGATTGAAGAGGAGTCCCCAGATGGAGACTGCATATAAGGAGTCAAAGCCTGAAAACATAGCATGCTTCTCAACTCAACTGATCACCAATGCTTTAAAAAATGATGACACAACTTTATGTCAAGAGCATCTTAGAGTCAATCAATCACTTTTAATTTGAATAAACTTAAAATATATCAAATTTACAAGATATGAATTAATATTACTAACAGCACTAAAGTGAATAAAGGTTATGATAAAAAAAAGGAGTGACACATTAGCATATATTTAATGACCATACTTAATCCCAAATCATTATAGCTAATACTAATCAGTGGATACGAATAAAATTCTAGGTTTCTACACTTTTGCACCCATAAGAAGCACATGTCAAGTAACTGAGAGATATTAATAAATTTCTGTTGTTCAGTTTCTCTACCACAACAAATGAAACAGGGGAGGAGGGGAATTTCAATGATTCCACATCTTTTCCAGGAACTTGAATCAGAGAAAAAGTCAAGTTTTATGCAGCCTTTCTTTCTTTTCTTTTTTTATCAGAGATCATTTCGATAAAAGAACAAAAACACTGTTTAGAGTTAAGATGGAACTTCAACAAGTTAACAGTCATTACCGATAAAAGAATCTCTTAGTGAAAAATAAGAAAGAATGGTTATTTCCTACTTAGACTTAAACTGGGTAAATAGACTAAACATTGGCATAAGATGGTTAAAATAGACAATGTACTCCTCCCCATTGTACCAAGCAATAGGTAAGAATGGTTGTTTTCTTAAATCAGTGAATGCATCCATATCTTAGTTGTACACATCAATTATATAACTTAAACAACAGACAACACTAATACCTGCCACCACACTGACTCCACTATCCGACTAAAGATCCATGATTCTACTCTCTCTAAGGCAGATGTGAAGGTTCCTGTCTCTTGCCAATCTTCAACAAGCTGCATAAAACCATTTCCTGGTTTACCATTGGAGCTACCTTTCCATTTCAGTGCTGCAGCCTTCACATCATTTCTCTTGCCGGAACCATTTGATTCAGCCAACCTCATAAGGGGATTAGCTTGACATGAATTCCCAAATGTTTGCGAAACTATCTCTCTCAGCACAACGGTATTCGACAACCAGAAAGTTAACCTAAAATATAAAAATCAAAATAAGAATACCTATTGTTCATATTCAAAATTAGTAGTTGACAAAATTTTAACAAAGTACATGTACATACCTTGAAACATCATTACCACAAGACTTAGCAACCAAAATAAGGCCAGAAACAGTATTTTTGGCAATTGTTGCTCGCCGGTTTTGGGTCCAATGCTTACAAGCATGTATATAGAGCCTAGAAAGGCGCCGAGCAGGTGTGTGCACCTTGTGTGCTGAGCTCCCATGCTCTGGTACAACAGAATAAAGTGACACTTCAAGAGCGGCAACTTCTCTCAGTTCCTCTTCAAGCTTTTCAATTCGTAATTCCATTTCTTCAACTTTTAATTCCAAAGCTGCCACATCTTCATGTTCACCATTTTCTTCAGCATTAACTGTTTCATGACTGTCATCTTCACTTCCCATGCTCTGAGCACCATTGGAGGATCCATCCAGGATATCAAGTTCCTTGACCTCTTGAACAAGTTTTTCATTAACTCCTTCAGAAGATTCTGATGAAACTTTTACAGGAACTTTCACAGTATTAGAATTTGTTGATGAAGTATTTTTATTCGTAACTTTGGAAGGCCCTTTATTTGAGTTCATAGGTTTCTTTTGATTGCTATGAGATACACTTGATTGCAATTTCTTTGATTTTCTATCAGATCTCTCCCTTGATCCACGATTGCTTTCTGAAGGATTCACTTCAACCTTATTCGTAGGATCTTTTGAAGCTTTTTCTACTTTCTCATCCTCATTTGTGAAAGAATCACCTTGGGATGATACTGAATCCTTTACTGTCTCAGTATCTGATACTTCCTCATTCCCTCTTTTTTGCTCTTTCTCCAAATCACCAAAATGATCATCAAGTACTTCTTCATTTTTGCTTTCATTAGCAACCATTTCATTAACTTTCATCTCGACCAGTGTCTCCTCAGACCTGTTGACATCATCCACATAATCTATAACCATGTTTTCACAAGTTTCTGAATTCTCTGAGGCCGTGTTCGAATCACTTATAAAATCATTTGCAGTTGGTCTACCCTGGGGAGTCTTAGATTCAGTTCCTTTTTCATGCAATGTTGTGGATGAATTATCTTGATGCAATTTATTATCTCTCCTTTCGGTTCTTCTTGAACTCTTTGTCTGACTATTCCTTGAAGCTTTTCTCTTCTCAATTTCTTTCATACTTCCAAATTCCTTCAAATATCATTCAAATGAAGAAGTGGGAAAAATGATAGCATTAACTAACCTTGGCGAGCTCCTTCAGCGCAAGGCGGTTCTCAATTCCTAAAGTGTGTAACCACTACCACAAATAGCGGATGCAGAACCTCTTGTGCAGCTGTTTTTCCACAGACTCAAAAACAACTATGTTCTACCTGCAAAAGTAGTGATAAAATAAGTGGCTAAATTCTCACCCCAAAAAAAAAATTAAAAAAAAAAATATCAAAGAGAGAGAGAGAATAATAGGAAAAAATCGCAAAAGAAGGGTAACCAAAAAAAAAATATCAAAGAGATAGGAGGTGAGGTGAAGTCATCTGAACCATTCATCACAATTGAATATAAAAACATGTAGTCCAACTGAATGTACCAGCAGATGCAGCAAAACCAGAAAAATTACTAGTGCAGAAAATTCAGATAGCACACGATTTGTAGTAATTGAAGGGGTACCAGATTGAATTTCAAGCAAAAAAAAAAAAAAAAATACACCGAATAAATCAAGACTATTTGATACCCAATTCTGCACCAATTGCGATCTTGTCCACACTAGTGAAATTGAAGTAAGTACATAGAATTGAGCAAACATATCATTACTTGTTTGCTTTAACTCTTTGTAGGAACAAGGCACGCATCTTTCAGACAAAATAAAAAAATAAACAACACTCATTTGTTTGCCGAAGTCGAATTAGAATTAGAATGGAATGACAGGGACATAGTGACACCTATGAAGTAAAAGTAAAAAATAGAAAAACATCCCGATCGAGTAGCGATAACACAAGCAGAGACCTACAAGTAGAGGGAGGGTTGAGGAAATATCCTCCATTACCATTACCATCACCATCAACATCATCATCAATCATCATCATCATCAAATATGCTAGCTGGCTATATTATAATAATATCAGGACCCCATTTAACAACTGTGTGTAATCTGTACAAAAATGCTTTCTTTCCTTTAACTATTAACTTTGACCAACCCAACAACCTATCACGGAAAGGGTAAATAAGGATTTAGGAGTGGAGGCTCAGATAATCAACTGCTACATTTCATTAATATCCACCGAAAAACAAAAGCACACAAGACAAAAAAAAAAAAAAAACAACAGAGGAAGAGGACGACGTCACTGCATAATTACTAGAAAAACGAAAACGAAATGAAAATGAATCAAGAATCTAAAATGAAACAAAATAAAATTTAAGAACCGACATGGTTCATGTAAAAAGAAAAAATGGTCAAACACAATAACTTATCCAAATAGCATGAAAACAAAAGTAGTAGAGAGAAGGAACAGAGAGAGAGAAGCAAAACGAACAAGATCTGAGGAGAAGATTGATAGAAGTTTCGAAAGCACGGAGGAAACAATCCAAACCAAACTTGGTGAGTTCGTGAGTGTATACTCTGTGTAGTCAATTCGGCAGTTTTGAGTTAGAGACCGTATGATATATCACGTGAAACAGATAGACAAAAAAAAAGTACCAAGAGAGAGAAAGAGCAGAGTTAAAAAGTTGTAACTGTAATAATAAAGAAGGATAAGGTGAGGGAACAGTTAAAAACGTTGGAACTTACCACGCTAACACGAGGGGAGAGTGAGAGAGAGAGAGAGAGGGTTTTGATTTTGAAGTGATTCGGACGCAAAAATGATGGTTATAAAGCATGGCAGAGAAGAGGATCTTCGGGATTAGCAATGTTGTTGCCACTCTTGTTTGTGTTTTATTATGTGTGTCTGCGTTATTTTTGTACTCGTGAGTTGTGAGTTGTGACTTGTGAGAGTTCAATTCAAAGAGAGTGCGGGAACGTGGTGTTATTTTTAAAACGGAACAAGTGGTGGTGGTGGGGGGATGGTAACCGGTAAAGGGTGTCGGTGCCGGTCAAGCTCTGTCTTTATTCTGTAATTAAGTAAACCTTTCCGCCATCCATGGGACGTGATGTGATGTGATCCTTGTCTTATCTTGTGGGGCCCTGATTCTTAACACTTTTCCTTTTCTTATTTCTTTTCTTTCTAGTATTCCGCTTTATGTATTTATTAGTGTATTATTCGTGCGATGCACATAAAAAAAAGATCAAAATATTTGTCGTTGTCGTGGTTGATTAATCACACTGCAAATCTTATACTTACAAAAATTTGTGTTACTATCTTGTTCTATATTTCAGGTGAAAAAAATTACAGTATTGACACAGAACTTTACAAATATTAACAATAAACAAAAATCGGTTATCCAAAGTGATCAATATTATACAAATCAAATATAGTTATATACTCGATGAGTTATAAAAAATAAATACGCCGTAGTGGACTATGTTAAAATGAGGATGGCCAAAAAAAGAGAAATGCATACAACTTATTGCTAATTATAACCGTCACCAATAAAATCAAGGTAACAAACAGACCAAGCAAATATCGAATTAAAAGATCAGCTTGTACCTATAATAAGAAAACGCTATTAATTTAGTGTCATTTTGTAGCAATCATTGGAGTGATGAGTTCAACACATTTCAATCATGTGATTTCCTATGTTTATGCATTACCAGGGACATCCTCTTCTACCATCATATTTATGCCTACGAAAATACAAAATGCAAATGTTCATTAAATAAATTATGTTAATATGTTAACACCCAAAAGTAATAGTCTCAACAAAAAAAGGGTTATTTTTTTAGAACCCAAAAACATTATTTGAAAGGGATTTGAAAGCAAATAACCAAATAGTCATGTATGAGTCATATTTTTTGCTTACATTGAAACAAATGTGTCTAAACAACATCAAATCAATACACATGCTCAAAACTTGTAACAATATATGGTTTTTCTCTATAATTTTCTTCTCTTTTAATTTATGGTTTTTATACGTTTTTTTAAATTGGTGATAAATGCATATTTAAATTTTTAAATATTTATGTTAAATATTTTTAAAAAAAAATACTTGTACAAATTTTTTTTCTCTTTTGTATTATGTTTTTAAGTTAAAATTTTAATAAATTTTCTTTTAAATTATAAATACGTCATTTCTTATTTTTTATTTAAATTTAAATTTTAAATTAATTTTTTTAACAATTATACATATTTTTATAATATGAAATATATTTTCTGTTTAATCTATAATTTTATATTAAAATTCAAATTTCTTATATATACATACATATATATTTATATATATATATATATATTTTTCCCATTACAATAACATTAAATATTGAACTCTTTTTTCACTTATCAAGTTCAAAATTCAAAATTCAAAATTCAAAATTCAAAAATTTAAAATATTAAATATTTTCCCATCCAATAAACATAATAACAACTATTATTAATAGATTTAACAATTTCGCATACTAAAAATAGTGGGAAACATGCATAGAAATGATGGATTTTTCATTTTCAAGAAACATTGGTAATGCACCTTTCACCTTCTAACAGAATAATTAAAAATCTTACAATTTCAATATAGAAATGATAGTTGGACATTAATTTGATGTCTGCCACTAACACTTTAATTTCGAAATTTAATTTTCTTACAACTTTATTTTTAGTTATTTATTTATTTTCAAAATTGGCAAGCAAGTGAGAACGCATAAGAGGTAGAAGATTAAGCTTCTTAATGGTTCAAAGGTTATAAGAAATCATAGGTTGAAGGCTTACTTTTTCTTTAGTTTTTTTATATTTATTTTATTTAAAAGAAATCATTTTAAAAAAAGAAAATTTATTTTTAAAACCTATTTATTTAAGTAAATACTATTATTAATGAGCTTAACAATTACCAATGCAAAAAGTAGTAGATATAATTATGATTGTTTGTCACTAAGAGATTCTGAACTTTTTTTCCACCTATAAAATTCAAAATTAAAAAACTCTTCAGCTTCCACTAAGCTTCAATACAAAAGAACTTTTTCATTCTCCAATGAGGTTCAATAAATTTCCGCACAACAATTACCCATGTAGAAAGTAATGGTATAATAAATGAGCTGTCTGCCACCAATAATTGTCCAAATATTTTTCCACCGCTACAAAGTTTAAAATTCAAATTTCAAATTTAAATGAAATTCGAAATTTAAAATAAATATTTCATTAAGCAATGAGTTATTATTAATTTGAAAATTCTAATGTAGAAAGCAGTGGAATATTAAATGAGTTGTCTGCCACAAAAAATTGTTCACATAATTTTCCATTTTATTTATTTACAAATTTTGATTTATTTAATATTTATTTAATTTAAACTTTTACTAAAGAAGAAAAGTTTTCAAATGACTTGTAGTGTGAACACAAATGTGAGACTTAAGAAGAGAGTGACACATCATCAGACTTTCCAACAAATGGGTTTACTTTATATATAATAGATAGATAGATTATCTTATTATTTTTACAAATAAATTATTTATTATTATTTTAATTTTTTTAACTTTAAAAATCGACGTAACAATGACTTGTTTTCTCATTTGGTAGACAATAGTGACTTTAATTGCATATGTTGAAGGCTTACTTTTTCTTTAGTTTTTTATTTTTATTTTATTTAAAAGAAATCATTCTAATAAAAGAAATTTTATTTTTAAAACCTATTTGTTTAAGTGGAATATTATTATTACTATTATTAATGAGCTTAAAAAAAAATAAGCTTAACAAATACCAATGCAAAAAGTAGTAGATATTATTATGATAGTTTGCCACTAAAAGATTCTAAACTTTTTTACCACCTATAAAATTCAAAATTCAAAAACTCTTCAGCTTCCACTAAGCTTCAATACAAAAGAACTTTTCCATTCTTCCAATGCAATTTTTAAAAACATTTTATTTCCCAATATAACAATTAATGATGGTGGGTCATTAATCATCCATTTCGATTTTCGTTTTTTCATAAAAAGTCATTATTACGATTTTTTCTTTTATTTATTTTTTAAATGTTAAAGCAAGTGTGAACACACAGCTGAACACGAATCAGAGTTTGACACGTTAGCGTTTTGGATGATTTATAGTGTGAACATACAGTGTGAACACAAAGGAGGTTTTCTTTGGTTCTCCTTTATATATATAATAGATATGATTGGGAATGTATCATTTCGTAATAA